GCTGGTAATTAACTTTGAAAATCCAATTATGGCAAAACTTTTACCAGACTTTGTCTGTGTGTGTGTATAAACTTGCAAGTGTGTTGCCACAGCGCGTGTGTGACTGTGTGTGTGTGTGTGCGAGTGCATTTATAAGTGATATGCAGAACATGCAATTAACAAGAGCAAATTCAGTCGACTCCTGCACTGCTGCCTCGCTCTCTCTCACACGCCCTCTCTCTCTCTCTCTCTCTCTCACACTCTCTATCGCTCTGTGTGTGTGTTTTACAAGCTTCTGCCTGACTGCCCTTGCTTCAGCTCGTGTCGTGTTGCCTTCTACACTTTTTCCCTGCAGGCAGTTACACACACACACACACACACAAGCGGCTGCTGCTACTGCTGCTGGCAATCTTCTTGGCAGCTGCAATTTGGTTAGCCTGGCCACACCCCTCGCCACCGGCCCCACGCGCCATTGTTACCAATTTTGATATAATTCTCACGTAATAATTGCGTTGGAGCTGTGTCAAACTATGCCAACAAAAAGCGGACGTGTGAAAGGAAGACTTAACCCGAGTCGACCCGCCGCAAACAATTGTCTGCTGCAGCGCCGACTTGAGCTGACCGACTTAGCCAAATGCCAACGAGCATGGAAATGCATTCAGAGAAATCAAAAGACTTGTTTAATTTTGAATATTGAATTGTTTGCCTTGGATATTGGCTGACTTTATGAGCTGCATATTGATTAAGCATTTGATGTTAAGCAAAACGAAAAATAAATACAAGCAGAAAGCTGAAATTAAGTAGAAAATGCTTTTTTGCACTCCCTCGAGTCTCTACCTAAATATAAAGCAGGTTGTTCCTATGGGGCTCATTTGATATGCTTTGCTGGAAAATGGCCAGAGTAGAAAATATAACGTAAACTCAATTTTCTGCAAGCTCAAATGTTTGCTGATCTAATTTGGGCGAAACCTCAGCTTACGAACACCTAAAAGTATGCAATCGATGATTTTCTTGAAGAACATAAAGGTCCTTAAAGCAGTTTGTATACGTAATAATAGAAAACTGGAAATGTTAATATGGGACGCAATTTTGTTAATAAAGCCAACAGAAGAATGAAATAAAAAAATGCACATATATAAAAAGATATTTATATATCAAATTTATAATAAAAAAAAAAAAATAAATAAAAATAAATAAATAAAAAAAAAAAATAAAAATAAATAAATAACAAAAAATAAAAATAAATAAATAAAAAAAAATAAAAATAAATTCAAATAAGAAAAGATTTGTTTCAATATTAAAAAAATACATATATAATATTTAAGAAGTTGGTCATCTAATATTTAAACTTTTTTTTTTTAATATATGTTTATTATAATTTTTTATATTCCTTCCGGTTTTTTTTTTTTTTTTTTTTTTTTTTTTTTTTTTTTTTTTTTTTGGCTTCTTTACATTTATATTCCTAGAAATCTTTTGTAAAATCGCCCCTTTTTCATTTTCCACACGGTTTCTTTGTTTGCTTAGCAGGAGCATCTTACTGTTCTAGCTTTTTCTGTAGAAATCTTGCTTTATTATTTATTTTTATTTTTATTTTTTTTTTAAATATGTGTATCTATTATTATTAGATTTGATTTTCTGTTCGATATATTAGAATATTTTGCATAGCATTGCTTCGATACGTGGAATCAATGTTTGTGTAATTCGATTCGCTTCCTACATTTGTTTGCTTCACTTCAGCTTGTTTTTCCTGCCTCGCGTTTCTGTGTAATTTCTTTACATAGAAGCCAAAGTAAACCCATAAGAGGAGCAATGTCTGCCTTGAGTTTTACGTGCAAAAGGGGAATATTTTTTTTTGCGTTTCTATTTTTTATTTCCATTAGCGTTTCCAGTTTATGAGAATTTAGCAAATTTGCAACGGAAATTGAATTTTTCATTGGCTCAAACAAAATTTTTGTTCGTCTAGCTTCTTTGGCTGGCGCCTGTTGGCTGTATTTTTTATGATTTTAATTTCCCGTTCAGCAATTATAAGAAAATTTTCTTTGACTTCATTCAGTCGCTTCGCCCGCTTTCAGTATTTTTTTTTATTTTTTTTTTATTTTTTATGTGTAATGATAATTTAATTAGCTGCAAGTGCCCTTTTGCACCGTTTGCCAGCTCATTAACTGCAGTTAACTGCCGCCCGTTGACGACTTTTCCTGCATTTTTAATGTCAAGCAGGTCTCGCCTCGCCTTGCCGTCATTCATTCATTCATTCAAGCATCCGTGCTGCCAGCCAGCATTCAGCCATCATTCATTCACCTCAGGTCCTTTTCGCTGCGGCATCTTTCCCTGTTCCCGCCCTCACTCTCTCTCTCTCTCTCTCTCTGTCTGTGACATGTCTCAATAGCTGGGCCGACATTTTGTATCGTTTTATATGTACATGTCAATTAATGTGATATTGATAGCATTCGGGGAATTTGCTTTTATTTTTGCATATGTCAATATTTGCATACCAAACTGCAGTGAGCCGCAAAATTTATGCGCAAACAGTTATCTCTCCCGGCGAGTGTGTGTGTGTGTCTTAGTTGTGCCTTTTTTTTTGTTGTGAAACAAATTAGTTATATGTGCGTACACGTGGCGTATGCGCAATCAATCAAGTGTGCACTCAAAGCCATCGATTGTGAATGTATATAATTAAGAAGCGAGTAAAATAAGTAGTGTATGTTAGGTTAAAGAGCAGGAGGAGAGTGAGAAAGAGAAGAAGAGAGAGTAAGACTAGAAGAAAGAAGGGAGAATCGAGTGAGTAGCCAGTGTGAAGAGTGTTGATCTCTCTTTCTCTCTTTAATCGTTACTTACACTCGCCTAGAAGTCACGAGTAATGAAAGCCAAGTTGCGGCTGCTAAGCAGAGAAATAATACTCAAGTAGCGAGTATCGCAAAACCTAACTAACCTCATCTGAAAACAAAAGAGAAAGGTAATATGAACTCGCAGGACAAAGAACTAGAGCGAGAGAGAGGGAGAGGGAGAGGGAGACAGAGATAGTGGTAGAGAGAGAATTCGTTGACGTTTGCAATTCTGGCAATTTGCCTAAGTGCTAGCGAATGGACGAACGCCTGGCTGGCCGCTGTCGACTTGAAAGTTTTAATTAGAAACGCAACTGCAAAAATGGAAAGACTAAAAAGGACTAAAGCGCGTGCAGCAAGAGCAGCAGCAGCAGTAGCAGAGGCAGCGGCAGCAGCAGCAGCAGCAGCAGCAGCAGTTGAGGCAGTCAAGCGAAATGAGCAGACAAAATGCGTTGACAGACGACGATGTGAAATGGCAAAAGGAAGCGAATGCTGCGAGGCCAGCGCCAAAAAGTAACTTTAATGGCAATGGCTAAGAAATAAATGAATGAGAGCAACAACAACAACAACCAAGAGAAGAGAGAGAGAAAGAGAGAGATGGAGAGCGTGTGAGAGTGGGAAAACTTTTGACATAAATTCGGCAAGAAAATGAGAACTGATGCGTCCAGCTAGATAGCACTCTCCCGAAAAGAAGAGAGTGTGTGTGTGAACGAGAAATCCATTTGCCACCTTCCTTCGTGTCGTCGTAGTCTGGTATTACTTAAATACAATTCGGTAAGACTGCCTGCCAGACGACTGTCAAATTAATTTTAATGCGATTTTCATGGCTGCTTCACGCATAACTTTTCGTTTCTTTCGTTTTTTTTTTTTTTGTTTTTTTTTCTGTTTTTTGCGCTTTGGATTTTAACGATTATTGGGCCCTAATGTGAATAGCTGAAAACTCAACTCGAGTCGCTCCCGCACCGATAGGCTAGGTCTGAAATTGTGAAACAATCTTTAAATTTAGCACATGGCAGCGACAGTCGGCAGCCAAATGCACAAATTTATTGCCGCATGCTTTCGGGCAGCTCGGGAAATTGGAACTTGGAAACTGGCTTAAACGCTGGCTCATGCATATTTGATGCCAAATATAAAGCGGCCATAAATTCTACTCGAAATTTACGCAGCAAAGTAAAAGTAATGCCTCGACCGAGTTGGGGCCCGGTGATGGGGCTGGGGCTGGGGTTGGGGTTGGGGCTGGGACTGGGTCTGGGACTGGCACTGCAAGCGACAGCCTGAGAGAGCTACGCACGCACCTATGCCAAGTTCTTGAGGACTTGAGAACTTTGTCGTTTGATTTCACATTTTTTTTTCTTCTTCTGCTTCTTAATGTGAGGGACAACGGCTCAGGCAACTTGCACCGAAAATGGCTGTTGTTGTTGTTGTTTTCTTCTTGTCTGAATTTTTATTTTTCTTTTCACTTATTTTTATTGTATTTTTACCTTGACAGCATTGATAAGTTGAAGCGACTGCGTTTGAGGCTTACCTATAATGGTTTATTAAAAATTAAATAAATACTGCGGTTCGCCAAGAGGCAACAGCCCGGAACGAAAGCTTCTTATGTTTCATCAAAATTGAAAAGTTGTCAATCTCCCAGCTTGCTGTGGCGCACATCAAAAAAAAACAAAATGATATAAAAAATCGCATATAAAAGTTTCAAATATGCATAAGAAATGTGCTCATGAACAGGTGAAATAATTTATGAAATCAAGTTACGAAATAATATTGTATATAAAGTGCGAAATTGTTGATGAAGAAAATGAGGCTGTCAATAGTAATATATTCATGAAAAATTAAATATAATTTCAAAGAATATTTTTTATTGGTTAAAAATTATATATAATAATATAATATATATTTACATGTAATTAATTTTTATTATTTAAAATATGATAAATATATTATATTTCATTTATATATACATTTAAAAAAGAGTGTGTTGCTAAAAAACTGTATTTGTATAAATTTAAAATATTTTAAATGACATTCATTGAATAAAATATTATAAAATTAAACTGTAAAATAATATATATTTGAAGATGTCAAATATTTCTGCATACAATTTTTTGTTCAGCAAAAATATTAATATTATTTTTTATGTTCATGTGCATTGTTAAACAACGTTATTAATTTTATATTTCCCTTTTCCATTTTTCTTCTTTTGCAGTTCTTTTAACAACATTGAGCAGCTGCTGCTTGGTGCTGGGCGACGAATCGATTGACACACGCGAGAATGCGGATCTCGTGCTGAAGTGTCGCTTCACCGAGAAATATGAGGCAAACGATTTTTCATTCTTCTGGACGCGCTCGATATCAAATCCGGCGCAGTTTGACAACGTGGCCATTGGCGAAGTGCAATTGAGTTCGGGCTACAGGTGAGTTAAATGTGTCACAGGTGCAATTAAATCATGATGATGATGAAAATGCGTGTGTGGGGCTGGATGGAAGTTGTTATGACAGTAGCTGTTCCTCTGATGCTATTTGCAGTTATATTGTTATGTCAGTCCTTGCTGGCCATTTGTTAAGTTAATTAAATGTTGCACACATCTGAGATTTATGCGTTTATGCTTGTATGTGTGGGTTGGTTGTGCAACTTAATTAAAATCAAGTTCTTGGCGATTGAAACGAGTCCGGCCAACTGTGCTCCTGCTCCTGCTCCTGCTCCCAGCTCCTGCTGTTGCTGCTGGTCATATATATGCTTAATCCTTAATGTCAATGCCGGCGCGTGTTAAACATTCACACAATTATGAGCAACGCAGCCACACACATGCACACACACAGATGCACGAATGTCTCTTGCTGTTTATGTTTCATTTTCATTGCCTTTACTCACTCGCGCCATTTTGCAATTGTGTTTTTTTATTATTTGCTTCGTGCCTTGTGACTTCCGTTTCCGGCGCTCGTTGTGTGCTCACTCGGCCTGTTTTTAATGTTTCGCCTGGCTTGACTCGTTTGCCGTTTCTTTCCTCTTTTTTTTCCTGCTTTCTTTATGTGTGGCAACGCATAAATTTTAAGTGCCCAGTCGAGGCCACAAAATGCATTCGCGTTTGTGCCAGCCAAATGAAATGCCCAGCAGGAATGGGAGCGGGAGCAGGAGCAGCTATCCCAGGCTGTCCAACATGTGTGTGTGTGCGCGAGTGTGTAAAAGCAAATCAACAAAACAGCAAATAGAAATTCCAAAAGAATAAAAAAAAAAAAAACGAAGCAAAAGTAAGAGCTTTTCAATTGGTAGTTGACGACTTGTATGATACTCGCTCAGCAGTCATGAAGATAAACACGATCGATGATGGAAGAAGCTTGAGAATGTCGGGCACTGTTTTAGCGGGAAAATGCTGAATTTTGGTATCAAAACTGAGTAGGAAATGAAAATTCCTTTCGATCGATCTTCTATAGAGTTTTAGTCCACGTATTTAAGACTGAGGAATAAATAATGTTGCTCGATTTGCAATGAGAGCAGATATATTTACTGTATATTTTTCGACTTGCTCTCTATAAATGCCAAATCTGAAGACTTTGGTCAAGATAGCGCCATCATAATCGACCTTTTACTAGCAAAAACAAAGTCATTGCATTCCTACATACAAACGAATTTGACAATAGAACTAATATACCCTTTTAACCAGTCGTTGGCTCGAGCCGAGGCCCAGTTCCCAGCGAAATTGTAAAAAACATTTTTACTGCAATTTGTGCCGAAAGCTAACAAGCAGCGAACAACGAACGGCAACAATATTGTAGTAGCCTAGGCATAGACGCTCTGTATACCTACTATATTCATATACATGCACACATACATATGTATATCTAAATGTATCTGTATCTGTATCTGTTTGGCATATCTGTATCTTTGTGGCTGCGGTCATAGCTGTCGCTGCAAAAGTGAAATTACGGCGTATTTTGGACGCTGCGATTTTTTTTTTTTTTTTTTTTTGGTTCATCGAAATCCACAAAATGAAGACCCAGAGGCGCGCAGAGAATCACAACTGAGGAGCACAGCAGAGCAAAGTAGATTGCAGGGGAGAAGGGGCAGCGCCTGCAGCTAATATATCGTTAAACATTTCATTTAACGAGCCAGACACAGACTGAACATTCGAGGAATGCAAGCGGAATGCGAGGCAATAGGCGATTCTTAGTTTGGGCATTGAGCGAAAATCTTTGAGAAATCTAGTTGAAAACGAAGAGAATTTGTTGATAATTGAATAGATTTCAAAAAATAAAATTTATAAATAAATATTATTAAGTAAATTCACTGATAAAAGTTTGAAAATTAGAGAGAACAGTAAAGATTGGAATGAGATTTACTTTTGATTAGATATTGTCTGGAGTTGGATCAAAAGGAATTCACGTTCAAGTTTCTTAACTTTCATATACCTCTTTATATGATGTATCTATTCATTTCTCTACTTACATTCTAAACGATTTTCAAATGCTGGAACAGCCTTTGCAATGCAGTGCCAAAAAGTAGACTACACACAAGCATAGACAGACACACACACACTTACACACATACACAGGCAGACAGACACATTGAAAATGGAGTTGAAAACTGAAACCAAAACATGTACCGGAATGTCCCCATAACCAAATAATTGGCTGCGGCAATGGCCGTTTAACGTTTAGCGCCAGATTGAAGGCGACAAAGGCAGACAGATATTAAATACATATAAAGATATACACATGTATAGGTGTACACATATATATATATATATATTATATATACTTAGAATGTGCATTGGCATCTGCTAAACGAATCGAATTCCAAGCACAACGAACCGAAACGTCGACACGCGCCTTCGGCTCCGGCATGCGAGCAAATTGCAGTTGGCAGCAGCAGCAGCCTGAGACGTGTAGCTTAAAAATAGATAGGCTAGTCTAATTGGACAAAGTAGAATGTTTAAATATAGGTTCAGGATAGAAAGTATTTCAATTGCGAGAATTTGCTACCAAGAATGGGGAATTTCTACTTGTAGACTTGCTCGACTCTGAATCAACTGCTAAGCGTGATTATGGCAGCTCTCAAAATATATAAAAATAAGTTTTGGATGGATTAGGAAATCGAGATGGAATTTCAAATCTGATTGAGACAAATCTGCAGAGGAAATCGAGAAAGATCTGTAGAGGAGATCGACAGAGATCTGTAAAGGAAATGGAGAGGGATCCTTAGAGGAAAGTGAGGGAGAGAAGGTCAGAATGAATCTGCAGAGCATATTGAAAGAGATCTGTAGAAGATCTATAGAGATCCACAGAACAAATTGAGGAACAGAGTGGGAGAGAGGGATCTTCAGAAGAGTTCGAGAAAGTGAGAGATCTGTATCTGTATTGAGGAGGCAGGTCTATAGTAAAACAGACTATACTTGTGCCAAACTGCAACTTCCTCTCCCTCTCTCGCTCTCCTTTGCTTTCTTTTTCGATTTCACTAATAAATCTCGTATACTCATGCTCTTAGAATATATAAGAACACAATGACTATAGCCGAAATCTGAACGAATGGGATTTGCGATATACACTCTAGGGCAGACAATATACTCCCAGTCTCCCTCTCAGCCAATAGACTCGCCTTTCACTCGGCTTGAGCGAGTATTAAGCAACACAGTGGCTATAGGACAAGTCCCGCAGGAACTTTTGTCGCTCAAGGGCTTGCGACACGCGCGTCCTCTGTCCGCTGTCCGCTGTCCGCTCACACCCAGCTGCTGTTTGAATGCTTTAAGCGAACGCTTGCTGCATTCCAGAGAAAAGGACAAACAACAGGAAAAAAGATTCGCGTTTTCCCCAAGCGCCAGGCGATGAGTGGAGCCCAGTGCGCTTTGCCAGCAATTTTTATAATTTGCACCGCGCGCGCTCCCGTTTTATTTTGTGCCGTGTATTTTGGGCTGGTCCCCGAGCGCCGTCTGCAAATGAGCAGCTACGTTCGGCCGCCGGAGACAACGCGGCCAAATAGAAAAATAATAATAGAGAAGGAAAATACTGCAAATAGCAAAGAGAATGAAAAAGTTGAAATAAAAACTAGAAATTTTCAACTAGACGAAGGACACAGAGCCTGCAGAGAATTGACTCAATTTGCCTGGCTACAATAATTTTTTTGCCTCCATCTTTTTTCTCATTTTTGTGGGTCAACTACGTTGTCTGGGCGTAGAGATTGACCAAGTTCGTTTGCGGTTTTACTGTACATTTAACGTGCTCGTCGGACAAATTAAATTCAGTCTGTTTTTTGCACTGTGGCAATTAGCAAAGGGATAAGGAATGAGCTCAGAGGAAGGAGTGAACGAAAGAGAGAGAGAGAGACGGATTAAAGCTGTTGACTGAACGCTGTCAATGAGCATAATAAAATGCGTCTAGACGCCAAATGTAGTTTTTCTGATGTGTGTGTGTGTGAGTTTCGCTCGCGTTCTTATCGAGTACCTACTCCATGTCCTGTCACGCCTTGGCATTTTGGCTCTGGACTTGACAAATGAACTTGAGCCATGTGTGTGGAAATGTGGGTATGTGTGGGTGTGTGGGTGTGTGGGTGTCAACTTGCTTGACAATTTAATAAACCGATGTTGCTGCTGCTGGCTGTTATGTTCTATTCCTATCGATCCACTGACCAGCCAAGTGGACAAGCCAGCAAAAGCTCGGCATCAATTTTCACTAGTTGTCCAGGACAACCGACGAGCAATAATAATCACTGAATGACGAAGGAAATTGTAAAAAATTGCCAAAAATCTATTTTTATTTGAGATAAAAAACTGTGAAGAGAAAAAAAAAAACAGTGGAGGAGCAGAAATCATAGACGAAGTATAAATATGCTTTCAGTTGTTGGAGCCTAATGGGAGCTGAAGGAAATAGTTGAGAAAGCAAAAGAAGACATTGAGAATGGGAATCAAGGCTACATTTATTCGTCTTAATGTCTTATTAAGTTAAAAGTAGTTGAGAATAGAGAGAAACTTTTAGCTTCTCAGAGCGAACCTCAATCATGGAATCCTTTGATAACAGAAACCACATGGACTACAGACTATGAATAACATAAAGTACATAATACTGCTTACAGATTATATATCTCACATACATACATTACAATATGTATATCAACTCACAACCATAAATGTTCCCATTAAAATCAAGGTGTTCAAAAATACAAATAAACTAACAAATAGCAACTGTGATGCACAGCTTGCTGCTGCTGCTGCTGCTGCTGGTATATGGTGGTGGTGCTGCTGGTGGTGCAGCTTAAAATTGAGATCCAATTTTTGTATTGATTATCTGGCGAATGGGGAATTCGTTACTGGCCTGAGCCTTGCGCAAATATAGAAAATTCAATTAAGAAAAGTTTTTGCAAAATTTTCTACAATTAAAACTGGGGAATTACACACAATTTCTGGTATTTCCATTGTTGTTGTTGCTGTTGTAATTGTTGTATTTCATCGGCTCACATCCAATTAAATTTGCACAGCAATAAGGAAACTCTTGGAACTGAATAACTGTAAGGTAGTAATGCGAATACCTGACTACGTCATGCTCGCCTAAACAAATGAAAAATAATTGTGTATAAGTGAAAGTAGGCTTGGATTTAGATCAATTAGCATTTATGGGTTTATTTGAAGAGGAGTTCAGTTAGAAATATTGAGAGAAACTATAGAGGAGATGAGGAAAAAAGATCGTATTTTGCAGCTGAGAGTAGAAAGGGAAGCGAGCTGAAAGAGAAATGAGGACTAAAGGTAAAGAGTAGAGAGATGAAAGTAGTAAATAAAGAGAGTAAAGAAGAAGAGAGAGAAGAGTAAAGAAAGAAGATAGCTTAGGGAGAAGAGATTAGACAGTAGAGAGTAGAGACTAAAGACTAGACTGAAAAAAAAGAAAAACGATTTTTATTATATAGATAGCTAGCTAGAAACCGAGTATACTCTCTGTGCACTCACGCTAACGGGAATCGAAAAATGTTGACATTTTGTTTGCCAATCGGTTGCTAGCGTCTGGCCGAACGCCGCTCGCCCGCCTCGGCGTTGTCATCGTTATCGTCAATCGAAGTTCACGTCTAGCAAAAATATGCAAACATTTATTGAACGTTGATTTTATTTATGTTGCTGTCACACAACAGCGCAGACCCGTCGCCCTCACCTTTATACATATATGTACGTGTATATACCCTCTTTTTTTTGCACCTGCTCAAATATTAACATTTGCTATTTATTTATATTGCGAATCGTTTAAAGTTGAACCACCTGCGGGTGTCGTACCAACGGCAACAGCAAAGGCAACGGCAACGGCAGCAGCAGCAGCGCTGCCAGCAGCCAGAACCCGCAGCAGGACATCGCCGTAAAACTTCAATATTAGCACAATTAGTGTTTGGGTCGCACTGCGTTGGGGGGGGCGTCGAATGGAGTCGCATATTAAATAAAATAAATTGGAATTCTTTGTTAAACTTAATTAGCATAAATATGTTGATAACAATTGATGTATACATTTTAATTAATACTCCCCCAATTTGCTTGGCTCTTTGCAGACTCGACTTTCAGCCGGAGCGCGGCATTTATGATCTGCAGATTAAGAATGTCTCCTACAATCGGGACAATGGGCGCTTCGAGTGCCGCATTAAGGCCAAAGGCACCGGCGCCGATGTTCATCAGGAATTCCATAATCTAACTGTGCTCACACCCCCACATCCACCTGTCATCTCGCCTGGCAACATTGCCGTGGCAACCGAGGATAAGCCCATGGAGCTGACATGCAGCAGCATTGGCGGCTCACCGGATCCAACCATTACGTAAGTCGCGCACTTCATGTCTCTAATAAACTTGGCTCACTATGAAAGAAGAGCAATGCCATTTAGCAGCAACAACAACTCTCTCATAATCTAATTTAGCTGGATACTTGATGTAGCCAGACTTTCTATAAACCAGTCTCGATTTGAAAGATAATCTGTATAAAATTCTATGCCTGCTGTGGAGTCTCTATAAATTGTTCAGAGTGTTCATAGGCTTCTCCTTTTATAAACTTCGTTTCCTTTGTGTTTTTTTCATTTTAAGTTATTGTTTCATAATTTCAATTATATTTTGCCTCTCTCTCTCTCTCTCTCTCTCTCTCTGAAGGCTTTTTTTCTCTTATGAGCTTATCAAGTTCTTAAAACTCTAATCTGAGCTGTTATTTGTTAAATTGCTCTCTATCGCTTCGTCTTATCTCTAGAAGCTGTGCCGTATATTTTCTATAATATATATTTCTTTAACTTTTATTTCAATTAGAAAGTCTTACTATAAGTTTTCTTCTCTCTATATGCAACTGTCTTTCTGTAAGCTGGTTGATATTTATGAACTATTCACTTCCTACTCTAATCATTCTCTCTGTTAATCAGTCTCTACATTCTATTCATTATGTTGCATATTTTCTCTATATGAGATGCTCTCTCATAACTATCTTTTCTCTTTAATTATTACTTTATTTGCTAGTCTCTCTCTCCGTCTCTCTTCGTCTCTCTCTCTTTCTCTATCTTTAAGATACTGCCTTTATAAGTTCATCTCTCTTCAAGTGCTACAATATGCAATATATTTTGACACTCTCTCTTTCTCGCTTTCTCCCTCTTCAGCTGGTATCGCGAAGGCTCAAATACCCAACTGCCTGCCACAATATTGCGTGGCGGCACCAAGGATCAACCCACCAATGCGACGCTCACGATTACACCTCGCCGCGAGGACGATGGCGCCAAGTACAGGTGTGTCGTGCGCAATCGCGCGATGAACGAGGGCAAACGGCTGGAGGCAGTGACCACATTGAATGTCAACTGTGAGTACCAAATCAATATTATAAAAGATCTATAAACAAGAAGTACTATATGATCTATACACAAGTCTGGCTTAGGATTAGGCTTGCAATTGCTAAAGATTGAAGAAAACACATGGTTTAATTGAATGATTCTCGCTCAGATGATTAATTTCCCTACGCCCTTGGGTGTTCATTAATTATTTCCACTTTTTCCCACAACTGATGCTGACAAATGTGTTTGACATTATTTGTTAGCCACTTGAACTCCGCTTTTGCAATTGTCGTCGACTCGTAGCAATTGTGGGCGTGGCACATTAGTTGACCTCGATGGCCAATGTCTAATTAGCATAGCTCGGCAATTACACTGGGCAACAAACTAAATAAATAGCTGCATAATGAAGTGACCAGACATGACCGCAGCTCTGTCACGCCCCCCACACACCCCTTTACCGCTTGCTCATTCATTATGGCTGCAACCGAGAGCTGCTTAACAAATGTGCTGACACATTCCTTAAAACGCTGCTCAAATTGCCCAGCGCAAGTGCAAGGGCAGGCAAAACAGCATCCATTCAAAAACAGAGACCCTACAACAACGACAGGCGACAAGCGAGACCGAGGTCCAATATTTGCATAGAGTATGGAGTAGAGTATGCATATATGTATATGCACTGAAAAAAGAGCTGAATAATTAGTAGTTTACACTGGAGTTTCATTTGTGAACTCTATAAACGATTTTAGTGACATTTTCTAACTAGAAGTAAATTATAATATTATAATATTTTTATAATTTTTTAAATTTTTAAATCCAGTTTTAATTCCATCATTTTCAATTCACATTATAATCTGTATTTTGAAAACTCGACCTTTGTGTTAAATATATATTGAGCTGGTATTTAGATATTTGATTTTACGAAATTAAAAAAAAATATATATAAAAAATTATTTGTTATATAAATATTAATCAAATTAAATTTTAAAAATTAATTTTAAAAAATTAATTTAAAATAAATATAAATAATTCCAATTAATACTCCAATTTGATTTAAAATTTTCCAAATTTAATTTCTGCTACTTTTTTCGCTCAGTGTCGTATATTTTTGTATAGCTAAAATATTTAAATAACAGACTCAACGCAAATAATTAGTATAGAAATTGGTGTGTGGCCAAGCAGCGTAGTCAATGTCATTGATGATGATGTTGTTTTTATTGTTGTTGTTGCAGTTGCAACAAGTTGCAGTTAAATGTTGGGCTAAGCGTTGCATTACACGCCCATGGCACATTAGCGCATGTGGCTATTAGAGCTAATCAAAAGTCAAACAAATGCTAAAACCCAAAATATGGCTAACGGCAATTGCTCAGTCAGCTACAGCAGTCAACGACAATGCCAGCAACAGCAGCAACAACAACAACAGTTGAGGTCAACCATCAAATGCGTAATTAATTCAAATAGAAAACCACAAGAACATCGCACATGGTAATTAGCAGTTAGCCAGGTCGAAAAGCTGTCCAAATGCAACTGCTGCTGTTGCCTGACACACACACACACACATTCTCTCTCTCTCTACCTCTCTCACTCTCTGTTTCTCTCTCTTATTGTCTCTCTGTCTGGGCACCCACACTAATTGCATTTGCATCCATTTTGAGGCATGAGCCAGAGCCGACAGAGTCGCAACCGTTGATTAATTCAGTGAGTGCGAACCAATCATTGACTGGCTAAAAGCTTCAATGACTCTGAAAAAAGGGAAAAGAAAAAACTTGGCTTTTGACCATATTTGAATAGTTGCGAGGGTAGAAAGAAAAGATGAGAGTGAGAAGAAAATATATATGAAATAAATACATTACATTCACTTAATCTAAATAGTAAATAATAAATGCCTAGCCAGCTTTAAGTTCCAACATTGTTTTCTCTCTTTCAACTGACAAGCTATATTCCATCTATCTACACACACAACCAAAGCTCGTCAGACATACTCAAACCTACCTACATCATTCAATTAGCATAATCATAAAAGACAAAGCATTTTTGCATTGGCAATGAAATTATATAATTTATTATACAATACAAAATGCAGCAATAAATTAGCTGCATATTTGCTTGTTGATGTCATAGACAGACGGTTCGCTCATAGAATAAGCGAACATTTGGTAACAACAAGCGAAACACACAATAAAATACCGAATATAATATAGGCGAAATACGCTAAAAATACTGTAAAGTATATTTGAGCTGGGCCGAAGACTTGAATTGGAAATATAGAATAATGTCCAAGCGAACTATTTAATATTTGACAAGAGCGAATTTACTCGAGAGACTAGAGATAAGATAAATCAGATAATCTAAAATCTATATAATGCTGCTATTTGATATACATATGGATAGTAAACTATGGTTTACTGTAAATAAAAATAAAACTTTTAGTATAGAAGCCACACAAGAATATAAGCTTAATATTTCATGCCTTTAGCTTTGATCGGCAAAGATCGTAGTAAAGACACTAACAAATCAGCTTAGTGCTCTTATTAAGAATAGATAGATACATCATAGGCTCTGAGTATACCCCTCCATTAATGGTTATAACAGACAGCAGAAATTGTCAGTTCAGTTTCACACCTGGAGCTTAAGCAATTTTTTTAATGTCTCATAATTGCCAAAGAGAATTCATTTGCTATGCACGCCCTTTTTAGATCTCGCTTAAGATTTTGAATAGAGTTTTTAGCTGTTGTCAATATGCTTTCCACATGCTTTGTCAACACGCAATGCTCACATATTGTGGCCAACTCCCACGTGGCGTATGCGCAATGTCATATAAAACAAATGTCGAACTGTCTGAACTGTAGCTAATTAGACGCCCCAACATGCACAGCTCTTTTATATGAGATTTCGAAAAAAAGGAGAAAAAAAACTGAATAAACACACGGTCACACAGTGTGAGCCACGCCCACACATTGATTGAGCTAATTGAAGCATATGAGTTGATATAAAAATGAATAAATATGTAAAATGAATTCGAATTGTGCGCTCCGATTAAATGATTCGACTGCGGTTTAATTAAAATACAAACAGGGCCCATTTATTCACATACCACGCCCACCAGCCGCCAGGCAGCCAGAATCTAATTTGCATTTATAAGCGGCATTAAAATTAATATTTGTTGTTTGTTTAATTGCAAATAGTTTGCACTAAACGCGACAAACCGCAAAATAAACGCAACGATTTCTAATTGTCATGTTTATTAATTGTCATTCAAGAATGGCGTAGCTCAAAGTTAAGCTGGAGCTGGAAAAAAAAAAATGTGAAGGAAGTGTGAGTGTGAAAGGCGTGGCATGACTGACAGCAAAATACTCTACCTTGAGCAAAAGGTCAAATTGAGATTTTTAAATTTAATAAGGAGATAAAAGTTTGTAAGGTTAAAAATTAAACTAGAGCTGGAAAAAGAGAAAGAAGTAGGAGTGTGACTGACTACAGAATACTCGTACATTGAGGAAAAGTTGTTAAAATTAAGACAAGACCTAATATTTTTGATTGAATATAAAAAAAAAATGTTTCCTAGTGTTGAGACGAGACTTTATAGAATAGATTTAATACGTATATATAATTGTTTTGAAATCAGTAAAAATAGTTAATGTAAAGAATATTAGTTTTCATTCATGACCCAGCTAGAGTTCTGTAGTTCAAACAGTAAAAGAACAAATGGCAGCAAAAACCAATATGCCCCTTTTGTAGCTCTCGAGCAAGTATGAAAACAGGCCACGTATCAAGTAAAATAAAGTAAAAGCTTAGCCAAACGCTGACAGAGACAAACCGCAGAGACGCTCTACAAGTAATTGCAGCTGAGACGTGGTCAGCAGCAGCAGCACATGGCATGGGCAGCAGGGGCAGTGGGGGTCGTTGCGATATGTGTGCAAGCATTTGCCAGCTGCGGTTAAATGTGACTCCAGAAGGTCTGGCACGGACTGAACTCAGCTGAACTGAACTGAACTGGCCAGGCTAAATGCGTTTTTAAGCAACGCTCGAGCCTGTTGATCGAAGGCAAAAGAGTTGAGTGGAAGTGGCACTGACCAAAGCAGAAGGGGCCAGCAGTTGTGGTTGCTCACTTGCTGCGGGCCAAAAGGCAACACACACACACAGACATTCAACCTGGCAGGGGTTTGTTTTGCTCTGTGCTGCTGACAGAGGCAAGAGTAGCAGCAGCTGCCTTCGTTTGCCTGGCAAATGAAATCAAAAACAAATTTAATTGTCTCTGTTTGAGGCGGAAATGTTTAGACGATTTTCCGATTTTCCAATTTGCCAATTCAACAATTTTCCCACATTTAATTCATTTTTGCCTCACACACACACGCACACAAATTTAACAGTTGGCAATTCTCTGATTTACGGCCAACAATAAAAATTCACTTAGGCTTTCGCTCGCTCCCATTGACACCTACAAATTAATCAGCTGCCCCAAACAGCCGTACCTACATCAAATCAGCCTTTCTCTCTCTCTTTCGCTCTCACTCCCTTCTGCCGTTGGCATAATCTGGCAACGCCAGCGGCTTTCAGCTCCTTTGTCTAATCGTCTTCAATAAGTCATTGCCAAATTGCGGGCAATAAATTGCAGGCCCTTCGTCCAGGACAAATCATCTAGGCAACGCGCTGCTAATAACCACAAAATGACAAAATGTCACAAAAATTACCAAAATTTTAAAGACTTTTAAATGGGGTGGATGCACTATTGTCAATGGGGTTGTCGAGAGGGGGATTTTAATTAGAGTTTGTGAGTTTATCAAGTCTATAGGGCAATGGTAACAATATTATTAGGATATGCCTATGACTGAGGAGGGGTTCATGCAAGTATATTTTGTACTATTTAAAGGAACTCCTTGTACTCCACTCTAAAGTCGAGGCAGTCCTCTATATAGAAATTGTAAGATGAGATGAGAGAAGATGGTTGAAAATTTATTTTGGGATATTTGGGATTTGGATAGTAAAATATTCTGTAAGATATATCAACATTGTTGTCTCTCTCGCATTGCTCTTT